CCTACGAAGGCCGGCACGGTATACGAGGGGGGTGGAAGGCCACCACCACGCCCGGCCACCTCTATCTCACGAGTAGCGATGTCTACATATCGTACTAGGCACTCATTTCAGGCTAAGTCGACCTAGGGGAAGTCCACGACCTGTTCAATTATTTTCCATCGATATTTTTCACAGGCGAGGAAACCAACTCAGGTTGCCGGGGTTGTAGCGCGGCGTGCTAACCTCTGTGCCTCCACTCCCCGAGCACACACGCACACGTACATACACACACGCACACATACATACACACACGCACACATACATACATACACGCATGCACACGACGCGTACATACACACACGCACACGACGCGTACATACACACACACATACATACACGCATGCACACAAAGACAAAAACAAGGTGGGTGGCCAGCACCATGCCCGGCCGCCTTTGTCCCCTCGTGGCGATGTTTACACATCGCACACACACACACATACACCCGCGCGCGCACGCACGCACGCACGCCCCGGTACATGAACACACGAGCGTGGAGGGAGGAAGGAGGTGTGGGAGGGTGCCAACGGCGGTGGTGGAGGTGGTAGCTTGTACGGCGAGAAAAAATAAATAATAAATAAAAGGGGGACGCGTTTGCACCTCACTGACAATCCAATTACAGCGACAATGCAGCTCGCTGTGCCAGGACCCGCTCCTATAATCATCCACTCGCTCTGACATTTCCATTGCACCGCACGCGCTTATTAGAATTAAAAATTAGATATTCTCTCTCCGGGTTTTTTATGGCAATGTGGCGGAGGAGGTGGCGGCAACGGGTGGGCGGGGGGGGTGGTGGTGGGGGGGGGCTCCTCCCCGCCCACCACCCCCCTGCCCACCACCCCCCCACCCCCCGCCCACCCTTCGCACGAACGGAGCTCGGTGTCAAGCGGGGCAGTAGAAAGATCAACAGCGAGAAGGGACGCGCTGCGCCGAGCTGACGAGAAGACATTCGTTTTGCGCGCTGACCTGACTTGAGTGTCAAATTAGCCCCGCGACACACACACACACTCACACACACGATACACACACACACACGATACACACACACTCACACACACACACACAATCACACACACGATACACACACATACACTATATTCTTAGGTTTTTTCGGTAAAGTCACGGAGGTAAAAAATTAAAATTAATAAAAGTAAAATAAAATAAAAATCACTGCCTCCGTGTGATTTTATACACACACGATACACACACATACACACACTCACATACACTATACACACAAACACTCACACACACGATACACACATACACTCACACACACGATACACACACATACACTATATACACACACATACACTATATACACACGATACACACACATACACTATACACACACGATACAAACACATACACACACGTACTATACACACACACGATACACACACATACACTATACACACACACACGTACTATACACACACGTACACTATACACACACGTACACTATACACACACGTACACTATACACACACACGTACAATACACACATACACTCACACGCACACACATACACTATACACACACACACTCACTATACACACACGTACTATATACACTACACACTATACACACGATAGACACACACACTCACATACGCTATATACACATACTACACACACATATACTATACACACACACATACACCAAACACACGTGCACACTCACACACACATACATACACACACATATACACGCAAATACACGCACACCCAAAACACACACACATATACACACGCAATACACGCGCACACACACACATTTAAAAAGCACATATATGTATATACATGTGTGCACGCATGCACACACACCAAAATATTTTATCGCGCGCACGAGCACACACACATACACAAATATGACAAAGTCAAAAATCCCCCGTATAGCCGAGCAGACTGTTGGGGCAAGTGCTGTTAGCGAGCAGCACCTATGAAGGCCGGCACGGCACACGAGGGGGCGGGTGCCCAGCACCACGCTCGGCCGCCTTTGTCTTCCTCCCAAGTGACAATGTTTAAACACTGCACCAGGTACTCATTTGAGGTTGAGTCTATCTAGAGGAGGCCCAGTAACCGGTTCAGATAATCGTTACTGGTGTTGATCGTGAGCGGGAATTAAAAGTCGGGTCGCCGGGTTCGTAGCGCAGTCCGCTAACCGCGAGGTAACCGCTCTCCACATACACAGAGACAAAGATCCCCGGATAGCCTGCAACAGCTGCTAGCCTTCATAGAAGGACAGAACGGCACACGAGGGGGTGGGTGGCCAGCACCACGCCCGACCGCCTTTGCCTCCTCAAGTGGCGATGTTTACTCCACACCACCGCACCAGGTACTCATTTTAGGCTGAGTCGACTTAGAGGAGGCCCAGGACGGATTCAGATAATCGTCACAGGTTTTGGCCATGAGCGGCATGGCCAACACCACGGTAACCGCTACACTACACACTTACAAACACACAAAGATCGTATTTGCCTTCACAGACTGTTGGGGCCTATGAAGGGCGACATGGCACACGAGGGGGTGGGGGGCCAGCACACTCACACACACTATACATTCACGCAGTTACACACATGCAATGTACTCACAAATACACACAAAGACAAACATTCATACACGCACGCACGCATATTACTCAAACAAAAACACACGTGCACACGTGCACACGTACACACGTTGAGAACCGCGATCATTTAGTCCACCTCTTGGCAGGGCTCACAATCAGAAAATTACCGAGCGGCTCCACTTAACCCCCCCCCTACTCCCCCAACACCCCTCCACGCAACACAAACAATATGTATAATAATCGTACTAAGAATTACAATAACAATGCGTGTAAACAATATGTATAATAATCGTACTAAGAATTACAATAACAATGCTGTAAACGACAAAAGTTACCTTTGTGAATGTGAGCGCACGTGGGGAGGGTTTGTTTTTGTTGATTGAAAATCTGTGAAAAGAGCTTCACAGCTCTACAGATTCCTCCAGGATAGATAAAGATTCTGATTCCGTAGTTGGTGTTGTCTCGTCAACTCGGTGAGAGAAGCCACTATTACCACCACCACCAACACCGCTACCAACACCACAATCATCGCCACCACCACCACAAACACCACCACAGCCTGTGGGTCTCCATGTGAGTCTGTGTGTGAGTGCCTGTGAGTGCGAGCCTATGGGTGTCTGTGTATCTATGGGTGTGAGTCTATGGGTCCATGTGTGAGTCTGTCGATGTCCGTGTGAGTCTGTGGGTGCGAGCCTGTCGGTCTCTGCATGAGTCTCCGTGCGAGTCTGTGAATGTGAGTCTGTCAGTCTCTGCATGAGTCTCCATGTGAGTCTGTGGGTGTGAGTCTGTCGGTCTCTGCATGAGTCTCCATGTGAGTCTGTGGGTGTGAGTTTGTTGGTCTCTGCACGAGTCTCCATGCGAGTCTGTGGGTGCGAGTCTGTCGGTCTCTGCATGAGTCTCCGTGTGAGTCTGTCGGTCTCTGCGTCTGTCGGTCTCTGCATGAGTCTCCGTGTGAGTCTGTGGGTGCGAGTCTGTCGGTCTCTGCATGAGTCTCTGTGCGAGCCTGTAGGTCTCTGTGCGTGTCTGTAGGTCTCCGTGCGAGTCTGTAGGTCTCTGTGCGAGTCTGTAGGTCTCCGTGTGAGCCTGTCGGTCTCTGTGCGAGTCTGTAGGTCTCTGTGCGAGTCTGTAGGTCTCTGTGCGAGTCTGTAGGTCTCTGTGCGAGTCTGTAGGTCTCTGTGAGAGCCTGTAGGTCTCTGTGCGAGCCTGTGGGTCTCTATTCTGGGGTGTCCGTGTAAGTCACCGAGAGCAGTGTGATCGCTTGCAACAGAACTCCCCGTGTGAGCCACCGGCAACAAAGAGAGACATCAAACCTCGTGCATTATTAACGAGGGGGGGGGGTGGGGCACCGAGCTCAGCCCGTCTCGGGAAGCTCGCCTGACCCAAAACTCGCGAAAGAAATAACAAAGAGGTCCGCGCAATTGAATTACCGGCGCCTCTGCCGCGCGTGGCTACCCGCCGCCAAAAATCGATGCCAGCGCCGCGCCGGTACCAGAGAGCGCGCCGGCCAACCCAGCGCTAATTGTGCACGCGTGACGGTGGCGGTGTAAGTAGCGCTAGTGATGCTAGTGGTGTCGATGGCGGTAGTGGTGGCGGTGGCAGTAGTGGTGTCGGTGGTAGTGGTGGCGGTAGTGGTGGCGGTGGCAATGGTGGTGGTGGCGGTAGTGGTGGTGGTAGTGGTGGCGGTGGTGGTAGTGGTGATGATAGTGGTGTCGATGGCGGTAGTGGTGGCGGTGGCAGTAGTGGTGTCGGTGGTAGTGGTGGTGGCGATAGTGGTGGTGGTGGCGGTGGTGGTGGTGGTAGTGGTGATGATAGTGGTGTCGGTGGTGGTAGTGGTGTCGGTGGCGGTAGTGGTGGCGGTGGTAGTGGTGGCAGTAGTGGTGGCGGTAGTGTGGATGGTGATGTGAGTGGCGGTGGTGATGATTGTGGTGTAGGTGGTGACAGTGGTGGTGGTATGAGTGCTGCAGAATGGTATGCAAAACAGTCGTGTTATGCGAGAGAGACGCACATGGAGACAAAGTGAGAACGACTAGAATGACAGAGAGAGACAGAATGAGAAAGACAGACAAAAGTGAGCGAGTGAGCGGGTGGGTGAGTGAGAGATTGAATGAGTATATGAATGGGTGGATGAGTGCGTGAGAAGTTGAGTAGACAAGTGGGTGGGGGTGTGTGGGTGAGTGAGAAGGTGAGAGGGTGAGTGAGTGAAAAACGTTATTGAGTGGGAGAGTGAATGAGCAAGTGACTGAGTGAGTTGATGAGTAAGTTCATGAGCATGTCGAGAAGTGAGCGAGTGAGTGAGAGAGTGGCGAGTGAGTGAGAGAGTGGCGAGTGAGTGAGAGAGTGGCGAGTGAGTGAGAGAGTGGCGAGTGAGAGAGAGAGTGGCGAGTGAGGTGTACCTGGACTTGTAGGAGGAGGAGCCGTAGTCTCGACCTGTGGGCAGGAGGAGACACGGGAGGAGACACGGGATGAGACACGGGAGACGACGCGGGACGAGACGCGGGACGAGACGTGGGAGGAAACTCAAGAGATGGGCGTTCTCCCCGCAAAACTGCAGAGTAAGAGACAGAGGCAGGGCGAGGCAGGGCGAGGCAGACAGAGGCAGAAAGAGGCAGACAGAGGCAGACAGAGGCAGACAGAGGCAGACAGAGGCAGACAGAGGCAGACAGAGGCAGACAGAGGCAGACAGAGGCAGACAGAGGCAGACAAAGGCAGGGCGAGGCAGGGCGAGGCAGGGAGAGGCAGACAGAGGCAGACAGAGGCAGACAGAGGCAGACAGAGGCAGACAGAGGCAGACAGAGGCAGACAGAGGCAGACAGAGGCAGACAGAGGCAGACAGAGGCAGACAGAGGCAGGGAGAGGCAGGGCGAGGCAGGGAGAGGCAGACAGAGGCAGACAGAGGCAGACAGAGGCAGGGCGAGGCAGGGCGAGGCAGGGCGAGGCAGGGAGAGGCAGGGCGAGGCAGACAGAGGCAGACAGAGGCAGACAGAGGCAGACAGAGGCAGACAGAGGCAGACAGAGGCAGACAGAGGCAGACAGAGGCAGACAGAGGCAGACAGAGGCAGACAGAGGCAGACAGAGGCAGGGAGAGGCAGGGCGAGGCAGGGCGATGCAGGGAGAGGCTCGGCATGACGGGGAGACTCGGGGACCCCGGGCGCCACTGGGCGAGCGTTGCGGGTGCTCCTCACCGTGCTTGGGGCTGCCCGAGCGGCTGCGGCGCTCCCGGTAGTCGTGCCGATCGTCGTCCCACTCATCGCGGTCCTTCTCCCTCTCCCTGTATCCCGGGTCACACGGCGCACGGGTCAGAGGTCGAGTTGTTGTTGTTTGTGCACCACTGCCAATGCCGCAGCAGCATCACTGAACAACGTCGTTAAGTTAACGAGGTGAGGTGGAACTCAGGAGACCAGGATAAGAGGCTCATTTACGAGAGCCTGGGTCACCAAAATAAAAAAGCAAATCGCCGTCAAACGGTAACTTGCGCCGGGCGCCTGGGGACCAATCGCCCGTGGGCTGAGCACGACGCAGCAGTCACTCGCTACGTCGCGACAGTGTTCACGGTAACGTCACGGTGTCTTGCCAATAATCACGGGGGAGGTGGGGCGGTGGTGGGGGTGCCGACTACGACGCCTCTTACTTTTGTCGCATTCGTCGAGCCAGCGCCCTCAGCTCATGCTCGCGCTCCTAGGGGCCACAACAACCACAGCAGCAGCAGCAGGAGCAGCAGCAGCAGCACCGAGAGCATCATCACGTCGTCCAGCGGCTCGCGACGACGCACCCAGAAGGTGCCCCCCACCCCCCCGCCCCCTTTGTCTCCCCAGTGGCGATGTTTACACACTGCACTGGGTGCTCATTTTGAGGTTGAGTCGACCAAGGTGAGGCCCAGAACCGATTCGGATAATCGTCACTGCTGGTTTTGAGCGGGGAATCGAACTCGGCTCGAAGCCGGGTTCGTAGAGCGGAGCGCTAACCGCTGCGCCACCGCTCCCCGACACACAGACACGCGCACGCACGGACACGCACAGCAGACATGCGCATCTTTACATAAAAGTGAATGCTATTGTAATTGCATTCTGTATAAAATTTTAATGGGGTGTAATCCTAATTACATTTTGGAGAAGTGTAAATAATTGTAGCCAACCGCTGGATTTATTTATTTAATAATAATAAAAAGTGCCGCTCATTTGCGTGGCGCTGGCGAAACTGCGGCACCATTACCCCGAATGGCAATCTCGGCAACAGTTTGGGCAAAATACTCGCACTGTTTAAAGAGCGCACGGTGAAAACAAGTCAAGCCCAGCGAACGCATGCACCGCAAATATGCTCGCTCGCACACGCGTGTGTAGACAAAGACACCCCGTGTAGCCTTTAACAGGCTGTCAGGGCAAGTGCTGTTTGCGAGTAGCCTAGGAAGGCCGACACGGTGCACGATGGGGAAGGGTGGCCAGCACCACACCCACCAACCTCTACATCCTCACAGCTCTATACCTGCTCACCCACACACTCACTCACTCACCCAAACAGACAGCCCCACACTCACTCACTCACTCACCCCCACGCCCGCTCACCTCTCTCTCCTGGGCTTGCTGTGCCTGTTTGTGATGTGCGGCCTTCTTATCGGCTTTATCTGTGGTCAAGAGATGGGGGGAGGGTGTTGGTGAAAGTTCCACATTCACGGTCAGAATCCAGGAGCGCTGTTTCTCACGGTGACATTGAACAGCGGAGTGACAAGCACCAGGCAGTCTCAACGACGGGTTTCAGGAAGGTGACGCCACAGCAGCAGGGGTCTGACCACCGATCATTTGGAGTATTTTGACTGCTATAAATTTCCATGTGATAAGCCACTTTTTTGAGCTATCATTTGTGGCCAGGTCGCTTCTGAAAAATAAGTTCATACCTCAGTGGGTACATCTTAAACCACCTCATCTACGTCGTTTCTAATCGTCCCCCCCCTCCCCCAACCAGTGTCATTTGACTATCTTGTTTGCCTCCGTGAGCCCGCACGTTAACAGCCCTGCAGTTTGCCTGCTCACGCCACCGCCGCTGGTGCCAGGGTGTCTGCTCGGAGCGGCTCTTAGAGAAGAGAGACCCTCCAGGTGGCACCAAGGGCCGAATCTCCTATGCAGGACTGCGACGTATTTACGTGTATGTACGTGTATGCACGTGTATGAACGTGTATGTATGTGTATGTATGTGTATGTATGTGTATGTTGACCTTCTTTCGCACCGAACGTAGCCGGACCGGGGAAGGGAAATAAACTAAACACAAATAGTAGTTCTAAAAACATGAGTTTGTCAATCTAGAATCTGATGATGATGATTTACAAGTGCATAGCTCCAGTGCCTTCCTACTATCAGAAGGAAGAGCGTTCCAGACGGCCGCAGAAGCGCATCTGAAAGTGCCACGCGATGCGGTGACCGCCGTCTTTATTCCGATGGCCGGCCAAGAGCCACTGCTGTGAGGGTGATGGGCGGAGTTCGCCGTGATGATGATGGTCTACGCCACCACCACCACGACAGCTACCGACGGGACAGAACCACGGGGAAACATCGGGCGGCATGTGGCGATGGCGTGGGCCAACCGCGGCCGGCTTGGGACCGGAAACTCTCCCCGCGAGTTGACGTCGCGCGCTAATAAAACACGCGATGTTGACAACACATTAACGAGGTGGGTGGGTGGGTAGGAAGGGGGGGTGGGGGTGCGTGTGGGGTGGGTGGGGGGCGAGCGAGCGAGCGAGGCCGCCAGCCCGTGACACACGCAAACGCGCGCACGGCCCTCCAGCGCTCACATTTCGGCGCAGGGTTTTACTCGCGAATGTAGTTTTTTTTTATCCAATCAAGAAAATAATTATTAATTTGAATTTATTTTTGGGATGGGGGCGAATGGTGGTGGGGGTAAACCACCCCCGCACCCACCCACGAACAAATTAAATTAAAAACAAGGTGAATGTAACATTCAATGAACGCTGTGGATTTTTTTTCGGGAGCGCCAGAACTGCAAATTGGCACGGAGGCTGTGAGCAGCGCGTTCCGGGGCGCGTGACAACGCGGCGCCACACAGTGTTGAAAGTCGCGGCGCAATCACCACCGTTAACCGGTTAGGGTAGGACCACGGCGCTGCACGCATGGTGCGTGTATGCGGTGTGTGCACGCGGTGTGTGCGCGCGGTGCGTGCGCGCGGTGTGTGTACGCAGTGTGTGCATGGTGTGTGCGCGTGGTGTGTGTGTGAATGTGTGCGGTCTGCGACCGAGCATTCACACGCCTCCAAGTGTACCGAGACCAGAGGTCGCAATCGGGTACCCGATACCCGTACCCTACCCGATACCCGGCTACCCGTACCTGGTCGGGTACGGGTACGGGTACCCGTTTGCGACCCTGGTGCGGCCGGGTACGGGTACGGGTAGGCCGTGAGTCACTGGTGAGTCACCGTTTGTCACTCATTTCCCAACGTCTTGTCTCTTCTGACAATTAAAGTTTCTAGAATCAACCCACCCGCGCCTGCAACATGGCTTCATCCCAGAGGTCGCAATCGGGTACCCGATACCCGTACCCTACCCGATACCCGGCTACCCGTACCCGGCCGGGTATCGGGTACTGGTACGGTACCCGGCCGGATGTCGGGTACGGGTACCCGGCCGGATATCGGGTACGGGTACCCGGCCGGGTATCGGGTGCGGGTACCCGTTTGCGACCCTGGTGCGGCCGGGTACGGGTACGGGTAAGGAATCTGAGACTGACACAAGCACCGTGGTGACATCACCGTTACTTAGGGGCGAACGCCAGTTGTTATTGTGGGTGCCCGGTCCGGCTACCGTCCAGCGCAAAGCAAAGGAACGGCCGCGGTGACGGTGGGAGAGGGCAGGGGGCAGTGAGGGGGGTAGGGGGAGCCAGGGTGGCCGGACACGATGCCCAGAGCTGCTGCGTTGGTCACGACGAACGCGTCACCGGGTCACCGGCTAGCTGCTGGAAAATGGTGGCTACGTGACGAGATGCCGCAGCTTGGAGAGGGTGATACCCAAGGCGGTGTGCCGGGTTGGTGGTGACGCGGACCGACCCGGGTGAGACCTAAGGCCCGATGATGCCGCGATCGAGAAACCCACCGCACGGCGGCGACGGTGCAAGTGGCGGGGGTGGCGGCGGTGGTGGTGGTGGTGGTGGGGGGGTGGTGGTGGTAGCACGAGCCACAGGTGGTGGCTCGTGCGATGAGCGGCGAGCGATCAGGTTAATCGCCATTAGCACTCGACACGACCGCAAAGTTTTCACAATTATCAATTGAACATCGGGTGGGGGTTGGTGGGTGGGGGGGTGCCGGCCCCCCACTCCCCCTTCTATTTTGCGAGCTCGTGAGCGCGAGTGTGCGAGTGTTTCTCGGGGTGGAGAGGACGCAGCAATTAGCCTAAATAATTCATGCTCCGCAGCGCACGCGCAGCCACTTCTAATTAGCGCTAAAGCGGCGGCGGCGGCGGTGGGGCGGTCCGCGCGCGCTGGCCCCGAGTGGCGGCCCGGCCGATCCATAAAAGATGGCGCTGCGCATTTCAAAGTGTCAGGTCGGCTTAGGCACGCAGCCTCCCGGTCCGGGCTCACGGCCGCCACGCTATTCACACTTAATTCGGGACAAACCCCGCCGCCGACGGACCCGCGGCTCGTTAGGGTAGCGATCCGGCCGCGGAGGGGAGAGAGCGGACGCTAAAAAAATAACGCGCCGCCCGAGGGCCTGGCTAGCTAAAGAGGGTGCAGCAGCCCCAAACGGTTATTTAAATCTCGCGAAACGCCCGCCATCATCATCTCGCTCGCTCGCTCTCTCGCCTAACGCTGCCGGGATTGCGTCGGCGCGAGCGGCGTGACCGACGTGGCTCCCGGCGTTCGTGATGCGGTGAGACAGCAGCGGGCGGCGCCGAGCCTCGAGTGGGCTTCGGGGTTATTGCGCGTGAACGCACCGTGCGTGCGTACACGCACCGTGCGTGCGCGTACACGCACCGTGCGTGCGCGTACACGCACCGTGCGTGCACGTACACGCACCGTGCGTGCACGTACACGCACCGTGCGTGCACGTACACGCACCGTGCGTGCGCGCTCAAGGCATCGGATGAATGCGTAGCCCCTGCAAGTTCTCACTCGTGGCCACAGCCGACGGCACGACCTCCGCTAGAGGGCGCTCTGGAGAGCCCTTCCAGTTGTCGTGTTTGGTCTGCTCTTTATGACGCTGGCTGGCCGGGACCTCTCGGGTCGCAGGGGCGAGAAGAGAACCCACACTTTACCCCACCGTACACGAGCCGCCCATCACAGCCTAACGGTGGTGTACACCTCAAGGGCGCCGCTGGGGGAGGAACAAGGGGTGGTGGGCGGTCGCGACATTTGAGAAACGAGCTTCACCGTTCCAACTGCCGCCGCTGAGAGATCGAACCGGCGTCTTTCCAGGGGGGGGTGGGGGGAGGGGGTGGGCAGTACAGCAAGCGGGTGGTCAGTGTGCCCGGCGTCTAGGGGCGGACGCGGCGAGCGGGTGGCGACTCACATTGCTTGTTGAGAGCCTTCTGCATCTTGATCTTGAGCCTCTCCCGCGGCGTCATCTTGGCCTGCAACGGAACGGCGCGGCGTGGGGCGCGGTGAGCGACGACTCTCACCGCCATCATTAACGCGCCACGCGCGCACCGCCAACACTCGGCGTGCCACCCAAGCTCCAGCGGCGATTAGCTACGCCAGACACGCGTTGCCTCAACGTCACCCCACCCCTCCTCCACCCAAACCCCCCATGCTTCTGTTAGCATCCCACAACTTGATTAACTCAGGGGTCTTTAAATAATCGCAAGCTAAGACGGAGACCTCGAATTTGCCACGTTGTGTCCCGAGAGTGGGCTGACATATTCAAGGAATTGTTGTTGGTGCGTGACAACGACGATGACGACGATGATGAGGACGATGTTCGTAACTTCGTGCGTTTCCTTCCCACGGGATCTTTTTATTTTTATTGGGCAATTAAGCTTAATTACTCGGGTCACTCCGAGCACAATGATGCGGAAGAACGCCGCCGCGCTGCTGGTGCATCGCGTGGGAACAGCGTGGACCTCCAGAATAATAAACACCTCCTCCTTCAAGACCCAAACGTCATCATCGTACACCTCCTCCTGGCTTTGACATTCCGCATCTTCCTCCAAGACACCGGCGGTGTAACCGTCGGCCACATCAGAACATCATCATCAGCAGGCCGACGACGCTGCACCACATCTCCGTCACGAATGGAAAACGGAAGACGGCCACAGTGGTGCGCGACTGTGGCCGTGCAACCCAACACGATGTGTCCAGGAGATTGACGCCAATGTGAGGTGCTGCTGCTGCTGCTCGCAACGACGAGAGGGCTTCAGCAGAGCGAGAGAGAGTTCGTGTCGTTTCGCTGTTCCTCCTCCTCCTGCGTTGAAGTAGCGCAGACCATAGTGGGTTTACTCTGCGGTCTACAGGAAAATAGCATTCGTGATGATGCTGCTGCGCTGATAATGATACTGCTGTTGCAGCAGCTAATGACACTGTTGCTAATGTTTCTACAGCTGATGACAACGATGATAATTCGATAAGGAGAACTCCTGCTGCTACTGCTGTTGTTGCCGACGATGAAAATGATGAACGTGATGATTGGGTCACCTGTCCCCAACAAACCCTGGCCCCTGACCCCTCGGCTTGAACACTCTGACCAGACGCACCAATCTGACCCGTTAATACATTAGTAATAATTATGCTTGTTTAGCCACTCAAGCCTCACCGAGTCTCGCGTATATCTTTCAGTGGGGGGGGGGGCGCTGATCACAGCCGAGTACGCACGTATGTATGTTGAACTTATTTCGCAACCATACGTAGCCAACCGCGCCAACTAAACGGTGTGGGCGCGGTTCCAACGGAGTAACCGGCAAGTGTCATTGTCGGCAAAGCGTGGCGGCGGTGCGTTTGCATTTTTGTTTCCGCACGCCACAGACGAGGTGACGTGCGCTCTGGCCGAGAGAGGGGGGGGGAGGGGGAACCGGCGATGCCGGCGCATTCGGCATCACCCACGATGTTTGCACCAGTAAAGGATTCACTTCGACTGGCACACGGTCTCAAGTTTTGGACAACCGTGTCACACGTGCAAATGCACGCACACACAATGACAAAGATTCCACCCCCCCTCCCTCCCGGATAGCCTTCACAGGCTGTCGGGAGCAAGTGCCGCGAGCGAGGAGCAGCGCCGATGAAGGCCGGCGCGGCGCACGAGCGGGAGGGTGGCCAGCACCACGCCTCGGCCGACTTTCTCTCCCCGGTGGTGATGTTTTACATGCTGTATACAGGTTACTCGTTTGAGGCCGAGTAGATCTAGTGGAGGCCCAGGACCGATTCAGATAATCGTCACCGGTGTTGGTGGCCGTGAGCGATATTCGAACTTGGGTCGCCGGATTTGTAGCGCAGTGCCTTAACTGCTGCGCCACCACTCCCCACACATACATACACACATATGCATACAAGCACAAAGACACACATGCACACACACACAAAGATACATACACGCACATGTACACACACACGCGTACACAAACTAAATCACACACACGTGCACACGCACACACACACACACGAGCACAGACAGACACGGTGTCTGCATGACTGGCAGCTGAAACAAAGACAAAGCTAAATTCTTACTGACTTTGGCAGCTCCAGTTTCTCTACCAGTCGGTGTGTCCGGCCTGCAAAACACAAAAACCCAATGAGCGAGGAGCACTCTGCAATCAACAGGTCACTGGACAGACCCACGCACACACACGCACGCACACACGCACGGAGGCCAAGCCGACCTTAGGGAAGCCCACTACCGGTGTTGGTGGCCACGAGCGGGAACCGAACTCGGGTCGATGGGTTCGTAGCGCAGCGCGATAACCGCTCCCCACCAATATCGATACCCACCGTTCGCCACTAAGTGACGGTGATGTCATCACGGGGCCTGTGCCAGGCCAGGTGCACTTGGCAGGTCACGGGACAGACCCTGGTGCCATGGATTGAATGAGATGACGGCAGATGCACCACCTGTGCCCCCGACGGTGCCAACTTGTTGTGTTTTAGCTGCCCGGTGCTCCACTCGTTGTTGTGAGTGTTGCTTCTTTGCCCTCCCGTTTTGCTGTGAGGCGTCTGCTTCCAACTTCCCAGTAGCACCTTTCACGAGCTGCCTCTACAGAGGCCGATCTTGACACCAGTCATTGCCAAGTCCACTCACCTCCATATCCTCTCGGACCACATCATTCCAGTCCGTGTCAGGGCCCATTTAGCCCCCTCTATCCGGTCAAGCAAAAGCTGCTTGGGCATGCGGTGGCTGGGCATGCGGGCTACATGACCCAGCTAACGCAGCCTTGCTGCCGGAGTAGCTCATCGATGGGACTGTGTCCAGATCTTTCAAGGATTTGTGAACTTCTCACATAATCCAACCTGGTTGAAACCAGGATAAATCGTAGGCAGGCCAGCCTGAATGTTTATGACTGCGAAGTTGTTCTATTTGGGAGGTCCACATTTCACAAGCATGACTGTGGTCAAGAAGACTCAAAGATTTGTGTGAAGCGACAAGCCAGGTAGCTTCCACAAAGCAGCGTGACGCAGCTGCTGAAAAGATGCTGCTCGGCTGATGTGGAATGAGCCCTCTGCTGCCAAACTGGAGCTGGTCATAAGCAGACTGCGCAGGCATGCTAAACTCTCCACTTTTTCCAGAACTGCTTCATCACCAATGGGGAGTTGAGGAGGTGGAGCGTTTGATGGCACAAAATACCCAGGCAAGTGTTTAATTTTGGTGGGCAGCAATCACCAGATAATCAGCACACGTAACATGGTTGACCAATAGGGAGATATCCCCTCGACCGCACCCAGGCAACAATCAGCCTCCCATTGTATCTGTAACAGATGTAAATTGCTCAAGTACAGCCTCTGCTGTAAAACCGTAGCTGGTCATAAGCAGACTGCCATGGTCCTAAACCCTCTCCACTCTCTCCACAACCGCTCCCCACACACACACACACGTGTTAAACACACACGCTCTCGCAAGCGCGCAGCGGGGCGCTCTTACTTTTTAAGTCTGGGCCCGACGGCCTCAGCCGTGCCGCCCGGGGGGTTCCCGGAGAAGCCCGACGAGGAGGAGGATGCCGCCGCCACGGTGGAGATTCCGGCAGCAGCAGCGGCGGCGGCGGCCGCTGCCACCCCCCCCACCGCCGAGGCCGGGGGGGGGGCCCTGAGCTTGAGCGCCGTAGCGCGCGGGGGCCGGGCGGGGGAGCAGGGGGAGCGACTGCGCGGGGACCGACTGCGCCCGCTTCCCCGGCCACGGCCGCCGCTCATCTGGCCCCTTCCCCGATTCCGGTTCCGGCTTCGTGATCGGCTCCGGCTCCGGCTGCGAGTCCGGCTCCGGCTGCGAGTCCGAGGAGTCCGACTCCGGCTGCGGCTGCGAGTCCGGCTCCGGCTCCGACTCCGGCTGCGAGTCCGGCTCCGGGTCCGGCTCCGGGTGCGGCTGTGGGCCCGGCGGCCCTGCCGAGGGAACCGTTCGGAGGAGCGGGAGCGAGAGCGCCGCGGGGCGCGCGACCTGGTGCGGGGGGCAGGGGGGAGCGCCGGTCACTTCCCCGCTCAACGGCACAAAGCACGCGAGACGAAGCGGCCCGCAGAAGCGGACCTCACGGCGTTACCCGCGAGCACGCAGTAGGAGGGGGCGGTACTTCGTGGGGGAGGGGGGTCACGACACACGCAAACGGTGGAGGGGGGCTGGGAGAGAGGGGGGCGGGTGCGGAGATGGGGAGATGATTACCGAGGGCGGCAACCAATCGGCGTGATCGATGGGACCGAGCGGGTTAGAGGGTGAGCGGCTTGCGAAAGCGGACGTCGCAGAGCTACGTCCGAGCACGCAGCAGGAGAGGGGCGGCAGGAGCGATGTTCATTGTGCGGCAGGGTGGGGGGGGGGGACACAAGGGGGAGATTCGGGGTTCGTCACCGCGAGGAGTAGGGGGAGCGGTTGCGCCGCTCGTGTGACGACGAGTGGGGGGGGGAGCGGTGGCGCCGCGGTGCCGGGCGGCGCCAGTGACGGCTCGAGCGTGAGCGCGAGCGCGACCTCCGGCTCGACGAGGAGCGCGAGCGCCGTCTCCTGCGGGGGGGGGGGGGGGGGGGGGGGGGGGGGGAGTAGTCGAGAGGGGGGGGGGTGTGGAGATGGGGGGACGATTACGGGGGGTGGCAACCAATGAGCGCACGAAAGTCGTTTGAATACGTCCGGTCGAGCAACGAGAATTGCAGGACCCACAGTGGCGTGAATCTGTGTGTCTCTGTCTGTGTCTCCGTGTCTGTGTGTGCGTGTCTCCGTGTCCGTGTGTCTCCGTGTCCGTACGTCTCCGTATCTGTGTATCTCCATGTCTGTGTGTGTGTCTCCGTGTCCGTGTGTCTCCGTATCTGTGTGTCTCCGTGTCTCTATGTCGTTGTTTACCCAACTGCACCATCACCCAGTGAGCTGCATTCTAACGCCTCCACACACACGTAGTCGGCTCCTCTGACACCCGCACCGTCGTTGCAAAACGTGCCTTCCACAATGTGCAAGAAGAATTCCCTGCGTCTTGGCACGGCTGTGCACCACCTGTGCCTCCTCTGTCTCACAAGTCAAACGAAGCCGCTACTGCTTTTCAGAAAATCTAAACAATTTTATTTCACAAGATAAAGCCCACCGAGATATGTAGCTCTTTTTCAAAAGCGACCTGGCCACAAATGATAGCTCAACAAAGTGGATCATCATATTTAGGAATTCATGGCAGCAGTCAAATACACTAAACGCATGTTGATTCTAAATGTGGAGGGAAACACCAGGGGACCTCGGGAGAAATCTACGCAGCGTGGACGTGTGAATTTGGCGTCGTCACGACGGCCGAAGAGTTGGGACCCCGGCTGTGTGGCGTTTCCCCGCGTCACGGTCCAAACGTTGCCAAATTTTAATCAAGAATCAAATCGCACCGCAAATTGCTCAGCTGGGAGAAAATACGGAGCAACGTCGCCTCTCTGTTGAGAAAAAGTGGCAGGACCCTCCTATGACAGAGTCATAGGAGGGTCCTGCCACTGGGCGAGACTTTCCTGGGTGAAACGAGCACCGAGACAACCCCGACGACGACAGGCGGCAGCGCGCAAGCGAGCGGCCGCGAGAGCCGGAGACCCACCAACGGCCGCCCTCTTCACGGAGCCTCGCTCCTCCTTAACGAGGCCGGCGCACCACGAGGGACCGCGGTGTCCGCCAACGCTTAATTGTTTTAACGAGCCGCTAAACCCAACGGCGAGCGGCCCTGTCCCCCCCCCCCGCTTCCCCGCACCCCATCGCCCCCCACCCCTGCCCCCCCCCCCCAACCTCCGTCCCCCGCCAGTTTATGCTGGCAGGTGTGAGCTGCCGGGTTCGGCCATTTGCGCCTGGCTCGCTAACGCGCGTCAATTAGCGCTTCCTGTGTGCCGTCGCCAGTGGCCGAGCCGGTGCCGGGAAACGTGTGCCGGCGCGTTGCACCGTCACCGTGCAGCTCGACGACTGTGATTGGACGGCTAACACTGTCACAGTGAAGCTCCACTGTGATTGGACGGGACGGACAGGTAACACCATTACCGTGAAGCTCTACTGTGATTGGACGGCATGCACAGGAAACACCACCAATTTTAAATAATCACATGACAGCCCAATCCAGAAAATTCTAGGAAGATAAATTAATATTATTATTATTTTTAAGCTTGTTAGCCAGGAAAGCCTCATTGAGTCTCAAGACCCAAGATTCAACGAGGGTCCTGCCAGGTTGTCTCCGCAGATGTTGCTGCTGCGTGTGGTGATTTGTAGGTAATTTTTGCAGCAATGTTTGGCTGATAGCGGCTGTGTGCGGTTATTATTTAGCTATGGGAGAAGGAAACCAGAGAATCCGGGAGAGACCCCACGCAAAACAGGGGGACAGAACACAGACTCCACTTGGTCATGGCGACATCACCACCGGAATCGCACCAGACTAGGTGCATTTTGAGGTCACATTACACACAATGCACACACACATTCATATAGATGCATAAACTGACACGCACACAGGAAGACACCACACAAAGATCCCCCATATAGCCTTAACAGAATGTTGGGGCAAGTGCTGTTAGCGAGAACCTATGAAGGCCGACATGGCGCACAGGGGGGTGTGTGGCCAGCACCACGCCCAGCCGCACAGGGCCGATTCAGATAATCGTCACTCCTCTTATTGCTCGAGAGCGGGAATCGAACTCGCGTTGCCAGGTTCGTAGCGCCGTGCGTTACCCACTGCACTACCGCTCATAAACATAAAACAAAGGTTCATCAGGAGGCTATTGGGGCAAGCGCTGTTAACAAGCACCAATGAAGGCCGCCATAAACATAGTCGCACTGAAACACACAGCCTCGCACACACACACAGTGCCACCGACACAATCACACTCGGTCCCAACGACACACAGGCACGCCGACACGCACAGGGCCGAGAAGTGAGAAAGTTTGAAAATTACCGACCGGGACGCGGCGCTATCACTTAGCGCCGGGGCGTTGGCCTTGCCGGAGCGCGACGCCGCGGCGGCCCCCCCCGCCGCCGACCCTCCCCCGGCGCGTCTCTGCGTCCCCCCGGCGTGGGTTCGATCTCCGGCCCTGGCGGTTGCCGATGAAGTCGCCGCGGCGGCGGAGGAGGAGGCGGCGCCGCCCTTCCCGGCGACGGCGCCCCCCGCCGCGGCGCCGGAGGCCGCGGCCGCCCCGCCGGCCCCCTCGTCGTCGCTTCCCCCGAAGCTGGTGATGAAGGTGATCTGGCCGAGACGGTCGCGCGACGCGCAGCACGAGCGCGAGCTCGAGCTGCTGCGCGAGCGCGACCTGCGGCGGCGCGCGGAGACACGCGGAGACACGAAAAGACACGCAAAGACACGCCGTGGTCACACAGAGATACACAAATACAAACATCCACCGTGTAGCCTTTAACAGAGTTGTTGGGGTAAGTGCCGTTAGCGAGTAGCACCTATGAAGGCCGGCGCAGTGCTTGACGGGGTGGACAATGATCTGCCCCGTGGGTTAGTGAGTTTTTCCACAGCCACCACCCCGCTCTCTTAAATTCAGCAAATCACCGGCGAAAAAGTGTGGAGGCGTTTATAGTATTTGGCTGCGACTATAAATTCCCACATGATGATAAGCCACTGTGTTGAGCTATCCTTTGTGACCGGGTCTCTTAGAAACTAAAAATACTTGCACATTATAGTTTTGTATAGCCGTGTGTACGAGTTGGGTCAACGTCAGCATGTTTGCTGGGTGCGTGCTATGCTATCCCCGCGTATCACGCAACGCGCTCAGGAGTTCCATGCCAATGTCGAGGCCTGACAGCAACGAGAGGCTTCGGGAGCGAGTTGCTTTGGTTGTGCTGTTCCGTTGAAAGAGCGCAGACCACAATGGGTTTACGGTCCATAGTTTAGGTTGTATGGCCACAGTAACACGACTGTCACTTGTCTTTAATGTATCTCTACGTTTCTCTGTGTCTCTATCTCTGTGGGTCTCCGGTGTGTCTCCACGTGTCTCTGGGTTTACGAGAGTTGCTTTGGTTGTGCTGTTCCTCCTCCTCTCTATCTCTGTGGGTCTCCGGTGTGTCTCCACGTGTCTCTGGGTTTACGAGAGTTGCTTTGGTTGTGCTGTTCCTCCTCCTCCTCCGTTGAAAGAGCGCAGACCACAATGGGTTTACGGTCCATAGTTTAGGTTGTATGGCCACAGTAACACGACTGTCGCTTGTCTTTAATGTATCTCTACGTTTCTCTGTGTCTCTATCTCTGTGGGTCTCCGGTGTGTCTCCACGTGTCTCTGGGTTTACGAGACGGTCCATAATTTGGGTTGCATGGCCACAGTCGCACGACTGTGGCTTGCCTTTAATTTTCCATTCGTGAAGATGTGCAATGAAAAAGGGCCATTGCCCGAATCGTCACCTATTATCAATATATACACATATCTAGTTTTTTCTTTATTTAGGCGAATCATTACAAGCCCAGCCATTGCCGTTCCTGTTCGGCTTCCGACTTCCCTGCGCCCACGACCAAACCACGGGAGCCCAGCAGCGTTGAGGCTGGACAGCGCTTGGGTGCCTAACGGCCGTAACGAGTGGATGCGCACGCCGGTACCTTTTGTAGGGGTCGTAGGTCGGGCTGTCCCTCCTCGCGTAGCTGCAACACAGAACAACAAGGTGGACGCGTCACGATCGGAGGCACGGGGGATCCGCCGCCAACCCCCCAAACCCCGTCTAAACGAGGGGGTTCTACCTAGTGGGGGGGGGGGGGTGGTTCCCGGGCCCCCCTTAAAGCCGCCACGACCGCCCACGTCGCCATAGCGGGGTTCAGTAGAATCGTGGGAGGGTGTCCAAAGGGGTCGCAGCGCCGAGGGACAATGGCGGAGCGGTGCAACGGCACCAACGAGAGTGGGGGGGGGTGGGGCATGTGGCCACCGGGCTACGAAGAGGGAGCGGGGTCGAGGGGTGGGGGCCGTGGTGTGGGGGGGCAAGCGATCATGGAGGGTCCTGGCAGCGTCAGCTTTGGCGGCGTGGCCGTTTGCCTCCCGGGCGTCCCGGCTGGGGGGTGGGGAGGGGGAGGGATGTGGGGGTGGCGGCAGCGGCAAATCGTCGTGTTCTGGCGTCCGCGATTGGAGGGTCGCGCGTCACGTGAACCGCCCGTGGGACGCCGGGCAGCAGCAGCTTAACAAAGAGGGCAGTGGATGTGCATCGAGACCGTGGAGGAGGAGAGGGGTTACCTGGGAGGGCTAATCTTCCTCTCCTTCAGCCGTTTCTCCCGGAACTCGCGTCGCTGACGGCGCGACTTCCTGCCCTGCGCGCGCACGGAGCCGTCCCAACTCTTACACCGAGTCCACTTGGCAGCCAGACCACTCGCTCACCCACCGCTCGCTCACAAACCGCTCGCTCACCCACCGCTCGCTCACCCGCCTCTCATTCACTCACCACTCGGTGGACTGGTCGAGACCAGACTCACAGAGCGCCCACCCTCCACCCTCTGGACTGCCCCCACTCTCGACTCACCGAGTACATAGACTTCTCCTCTTCGAGGGCCTTCGCGTACTTAATGGCCTCAATTTCATCCTTGTCCTTCCGGAGCATCCTGCGGTGAAGCATCATGACGGGGTGGGGGTGGGGCATTAACGGGAGGGCACTAACGAGGGGAGGGGGGGGGCATTATGGGGGGGTGGGGGGCGCTAACAGATTTCCGACAAGCCAGCTGCTCGGGCCTAACGAGAGGTGGGTGCCAGTGCGGAGCTCTTCTTCGGTCTTCCGTACGGCGGACATCGACGCAGCGCACCAACGACAATCTCGCGGAGCGTATCACCGTCGCTGCGATGTGTCCTTCGTATTTGTGGAACTGGGCATTGTGTCGTTATATGCTGCACGGTCTGTTCTGGATGACCACAGTCGCAGCACTGTTGGAGAGTTTTACATTTTCCATTTGTTCATCAGCTATCCACATCTGCCATGTATGCATGTTGAACGTGTTTCGCACCGTACGTAGCCAACCGTGCCAATCGGTGGTGTGGAATCAAAGGTGCGGTTTGTGCAGCGTGGATGCGGTTTAGGGTGGGATCATTAGCTTCGTGGAAGATCAAAACCCTCACGAGTGAGGGTTTTGATGGTGGATCGCTCGCCGCTCCCTGTGCAGGGTTCGCGAGTCGAAACGAATTTTAAACTCAACTATTTAAATGTTACCAGGTAAGGGCCATTGAGCTATACAGGCAGTCCCCAGGTTAAGGAAGACCCGACTTACAGAAATCCGACTTTACAGAAATGCTCCCATAAATCATGTAAAAAGTTGTTTTTCAATACTGTATGCATAAATGTTTGCAAGAGTGCAGGGCCTGTTCGTAAGCGTCAAGTCATTGATTTGGAGCACAAACGCCGCCTTCACCGAGCTTCACGAGGAGTCGGGTAAATGTCATTTTTCGTAGCGTTGCATAATCATTTTCCTCTTGTAGCATTACGTTATTGTTTGTTTTCTATGCTTCGTGTATTCATAAACAATTGGACAGTACAGTATACGTTACATTAGCTTAATCAAGGATAGTGTTAGCGATCAAATGAAAGAATCATAGGAAGTGCAGAGTGTGCGTATATTTCTCGGGAACCTAACCCTTCCGTAACCCGGGGACTGCCTGTACAGTTATTTTTCAGAAGGGACGTGGCTATCACAACCGACAGCTTAACGAAGTGGCTCACCACCGTGTGCACATTCACAGCAGCAGCCAAACACTCTCAATGCGTGATGTTGATTCTAAACGTGGAGGGAACAACCGGAGGACCAGGAGAAAAGTCCCTGCGAGCACGGCGACAGAGACACCCAAACTCCAAATGTACAGCAGGCACCAGGGTCGGGATCGAGCCCACGACTTTCTGTATACCAGGCGAGGGAGTTAACCTGTCGCCACCCTGGCACGTGACGGGTTAACACTGCGTGCGTGTCATCAACCCGTCACAGAGCAGAATGCGACAGTGTTAAGAACCTGGCAACCAGCGTTCGATTATCTAAACCGGTCCTGGGCCTCCACTAGGTCGACTCGGCCTCAAATGAGTACCTGGTGCAGTGCGTAAATATCCTCAATGGGGAGACCAAGGCGGCCGGGCGTGGTGCTGGCCACCCACCCCCTCATGCGCCGTGCCGGCCTTCATAGATGCAACTCGCTAATGGCACTTGTCCCAATGGTCTGTTAAGGCTACAGGGGGATCTTTGTCTTTGGTGGGGTGTGGGGGCCTCACCGGACGTAGTCGGCGTCGCTCATGCCGTAGTTGGTGGCGCATTTGTTCATCTCGGCGATCTGCTCGGAGTTCAGCTCATCGATGTCCACCTCCACGTCTAGCGGGTGGGACGCGCACGGGGCGAGACAGCGACAACGCACGCGCTCACGCACACCCCGCACGCACCACCCCACAAAGACACGCACGCAGAGCATGCACCACACATACCGCACGCACCACATGCACCGCACGCACACCACCCACAAAGACACGCACACACCACACGGGCATGCAGACACCACACGCACCGCAAACACACCACTCACAAACACACACACACACCACACGCACTACCCCACAAAGACACGCACACACCACACGCGCCACACATACCGCACGCACCACCCCACAAAGACACGCACACCACACGCACTACCCCACTAAGACACGCACACACCACACGCGCCACACACCCCGCACGCACCACCCGACAAAGACACGCAAACCACACGCACTACCCCACAAAGACACGCACACACCACACGCGCCACACCCCCGCAAGCACCATCCCACAAAGACACGCACGCACCGCACGCGCCACACATACCGCACGCACCACATGCACCGCACGCACACCATCCACAAAGACACGCTCCACAAGCACACCACCGACAAAGACACGCACACACCGCATGCACCACCCCACAAAGACACGCACGCACCGCACGCACCACACATACCGCACGCACCACATCACCACATGCACCGCACGCACCGCACGCACAAAGACACGTACCGATGTCGGGGATGGTTCCGTCGGACTCGCTGCTGCTGCTGTCTCCATCGCCGCCATTGTCCCCGGCCCCCTCCTCGTCCTCCTCTCCCTCCTCCTCTTCGTCGTCGTCGTCCTCCTCCTTCTCCTCGTCGCCGCCACCGTCTCGATCGGCTCCCTCCCCGTGCTCTTCCGCTCCGCGCGCTCCGGGCCCGTGGCTGCTGCTGCCGCCACTGTTGTTGTTGCCGTGGGACGAGGCGGCGGCGGTGGCCGTGGAGGAGGAGGAGGGGATGGCGTCATCGGGGGCGACCGCCGGGGAGGAATCCTCGTAAGTGTAGCCGATGGTTGCGCGCTTCTCCGCCAGCCTGTCACGAGCGCACACAAAAGACAAAGGTCCCCTGTGTAGCCTCGACAGACTGCCGAGGGCGAGTGGGGCGCCAAGGTGGCGAAATGTTTACATTGTGGGTTCGACCCCGACCCCGACGCCTGTATATTTGGAGTCTGCATGTTCTCTCCCACCGTGGTTACGTGGATTTTTCTCCGGGTCCTCCTGTTTTTCCCTCCACATTGACAAACATGCGTTTAAAAGTATTTGGCTGCTATAATGTCCACATGATAAGCCACTTCGCTGATCTGTGGCTAGGTCATTTCTGAAAAAGAGCAAAATAGCTCACAGGAGCCTTACCTGGTGAAATACAAAATAGTTCAGTAGGAGCGGTGCCGTTAGTGAGCAGCGCCTACGAAGGCCGCCGCGGCAAATGTGGGGGGTGGGCAGCAAAGCCACGCCCGGCCACGGTTACGATGTTTACACATCGCTCCGGGTACTCTCGAGGCCGAGTTGACCTAGGGGAGGCCCAGTACCGGTTCAGACAATCCGTCGCTGGCATGAGCCGCGAGCGGAAATCGAACTCGGGTTACGGGGGTTAATAGCGCAACGGCGCTAACCGCTGCACTGCCACTCCCCTGCCACACGCACAGGCAGAGGTGCACACACGCACAGGGAGGGAGGCAGCCGATGGCTGGACCCGGCAGGCCCGAGCACACACGAGGCCTACCAAGGGCTTTGTTTATAGCCACGACTCGTAACCACTGCTACAACGAGAGCTATGCGCCAGCTATACTGGACGTGATGTGCCAAATCCATTCTGTGGTTGCCAGCCCTCCAGCAAGTGGTAGGACAGAGGAGCGACCCTCACAACAACGTGTTCCCCAGCGGGGAGATAAAGGTGGTGCATCTCCCAGTCATCATAATCGGTCAACCCATGGAACCTCGGTCTGTCCAGCGTGACCCCCTGCCGGCAGCGAGCCTTCTCCATTTCGCGGGATGGCCTCAGGAGTGCACCTAGCCTGGCACATGTGCCGTGGTGACGTCACTGCAACCAAGCGGCGAAAAGCGGTTGTGTTTGTTGTCGTTGTTGTGGGTTACCCGCACCTCCGATTAACGCGGTTGGCTACGTACGGTACAAACAAAATTCAACATACAGTCTGTTCTCCTATAAGACGTGTTTTATAATGCAAATTGAATACAACGCAATTGAGTGCGCGAGTAGGAATAAGCGGCCGTACAGCTTCCTCGGTGGAGCATCGCACGAGGCAGTGGGGTGCTGCTGGATGCTTCTAGATGCTACCCAAGCGCCTCGGCCTTAGTTCGTCCTGCGTACGCATCTCACGTGTTATCACGGACTGTGCGAGTCCAATTGGGCCCTCGGTAACGAGAAGACTCGACACAGTGCCGGGCCAGCCTTAACCCTGACCCCTAGGCGGGCGGAAGCACCAGGCAGGAGCAACCACGACAGCGCAGCAGCCACTCCTGTTGCCCTGGGCAGCGGCGGGCAGGGACGGCGCGCAGAGCAGCAGCAGCAGCGAGCGACTAAGCTACTGCGAGGCGGAACACGGGGCGGCGATGTCAGCGGCCGTTAATGTTTAACGAGGTCGTGGTTGGGGGCGGCTGCATGTCTGTACGTTGGAACTTCTTTCGCGCCATACGTAGCCAGCCACGCTAATCGGAAGTGGGGGGTGGTGGGGGGTGGTGGGGGGTGCCGTACTTTTTCTTCTCCTCCTCCAGGATGCGGGGGTTGGTTGCCGTGCCGTACAGCTCGTCCATGTAGATCTGATAGAGACACTGGTCCTCCGAGACTGCCGTGGCGACACAAAGACAAAGGTTCCCAGACGCCCCAACGCAGGTGTAGCCTTTAAAATCGCAATTTCGGGTCAAGTGCTGGCACAGCAGAAGCAGCAGCCAACCATTCACGGCGATGTCACCGCGGCGCTCGTGCCAGGCTAGGTGTACTTTAGGCTGTGTGAAGTGTAACAGGCTCGCTAGCAGGAGGTTCACGGGACAGACCTAGGGGGTATGTTACGGGTTAACATGTGACGCACGAGACATGCGACACGCGCACGCACGGGACACGTGACACGCAATCGCGTGAGACACGTGACACGCAATCGCGTGAGACATGGGGCAGACGCGCAAACCCACGCATGACACCAACGCAACACACGCACACACAGACAGCAGACACGGCAAACACACGCGCACTCGTGTACATGTGCACTCCCATGAGCTTTAAGGAAACACTGTTACGCGCATTAGTTTGTGTTTTGTTCGTCTTTGGTGTGGGGGAGCAGTGGCGCAGTGGTTAATGCACTGCAATACGAAACCGGTCCTGGACATCTCCTAGGTCTACTCAGCATTAAAAAAGTTTCTGATGTGGTGTGTAAATATTAGCAATGGGGAAACAAAGGCGGTAGGGCGTGGTGCTGGCCACCCACTCCCTCGTGTGCCATGCTGGCCTTCATAGGTGCTCGCTAACAGCACTTGCCCCAACAGTCTGTTCAGGCTATTCGGGGGATCGTTGTTTTTTGCATGTACACGTGCACATGTGTGTGTGTGCGTGCATGTGTGCGTGCGTGCGCGTGTGTGTGCATGGCCATCACTCACTTCCCGCGAACTCATTCTGCACGAGGCAGCGGTAGCGCTCGTAGTTGCACCGGCGCTCGTCCCCATCCTCCCAGACGCTGCACAGCACCACGCACACACAAAGTCAAATATCTAGTGGCGATGTTTTTACGCACCGCACCAGGTACTTATTTGAGGCTGAGTCGACCTAGGGGAGGCCAATGACCGGTTCAGATAATCGTCACCGGTGTTGGCTGTGAGCGGGAATCGAACTCTAGTCGCCAGGTTCGTAGCGTCGCCCGCTAACCGCTAATCTAATGCTCAGAAGGACACTCAAGCAAGTGCATGCACACATGGCTACACACACGAACACACACGCGCACATGGCTACACACATGAACACACACACGCGCACATACGGAGTTAGCACACACGTCCTCTGCTCGCTCAATGGCCACTCCTGGTCCCTTGGGTTCTCACCTGGTTAAACAAGATTAAGTTAATCTCAGCCACTCAAATACTCACTCACTCACACAAATGGAACCTCATTTGCCAGTAAAAAATATAATTGTTTTTTTACCCGTCTATCTGGCAACAAAACTGACACCTTTTTTACAAGGAGTCATGTTTGCATAGACCACAATACCTGCAGTCATAATGCAAACAAAAAACATAACTCTGATAATGCATGCACTGTCCTTGAAGTTGATTGGTCCACACCCGAGACAGCTTTCCTTAGGCTTAGAGCCTAGTCTCACATGGGTTGGACCAGATGACGTCAAAAGGTGCCTTTTGCCAGATAGAAGGGTAAAAAAACAATTATCACTCACTCACTCGTTTACTCATTCACCTAACCATCCACCCAGCCATAGAACCACTCACTCAACCACTTATTCACCTACCCACTCATTCAACCGACCATTTACTCTACCACCAACTCATTCACTCACTCGCTTACCTAACCATCCATCCAGCCACTCAACCACTCACTGACTCAACCACTCATTCACCTACCCACTCACTGACTCTACCAACCATCCACTGAACCACCAACTCTCATTCACTCACTCATTCACCCAACCACTCCCTCACCCAACCATCCATCCAGCCACTCAATCATTCATTCACTCACTCAACCACTCAATGACCCACTCACTCACTCACCCAACCTTCCATGCAGCCACTCACTACTCTTGCAAACGGTAATGTCCAGCCGGCCGGCAAACCAAACCGACCAGGGGGGGTGTAAAGCAACGGAGGGCATTGGTCACCTGTCACCGGCAGCCAGGCCCTTGAACTCGGGGATGAAATCCAGGTGAGCTCTCACGTCGAACCTGTCAATCATGTTGTTTGAGTCGCCCTGCCAGGGCATCCTGCGGAGAGACACAAGACAGGGCACATCACCCAGGGGCTCCCTCCCGGACACTAAACTAAATCTGTAAACTGTTTTTTATTTGACCAGGTCAGAGGCCTACTAGAGGCCTACTAAGCTACCTGGCTATCACAAATGATAGCTCAACGCAGTGGCTTATCATGTGGATATGTATAGCAGCCAAATACTATAAATGCACATTGGTTCCAAATGTCGAGGAAAAAACCTGAGAAAAATCCACGCGACCACGGGAAGAGAGATACCGCATACTCCAAACACACAGCAGGCGTCAGGGTCGGGATGGAACCCACGGCCTCCTGCATATCCGGCAGGGGAGATAACATCTCCTCGGCAGCGCGCGGTCGCTCGCGCGTTGGCAAGGCGAGGGAGGTGGGAGCAGGAGCGGTCGTCGCGCCGCGGCGTCGAAAAGTTGAGAGCAGACGGTGGTGCGGGGGTCAACAGCCATGGCTGGGAGCCCCGCCGCCCACACGCAGGCCCCACGCGACCGCCGAATTATCATCAAATTAGCGCCGTGACATTTGGAGCGAACCTCCCATCTGTCTGCTCCGAGCGCCGCTGCCACCGCGACATCGCAACCACCACGCGGCTCCCCGCGGGACCCGACAGCAACGTGCGTGGGCGACTGTCTGCCTCCCTCCCTCCCTCCTTCACTCCCTCCATTCCTCCCTCCACGCTGCCCTGCCTCCCTCCCCAGCTCCCCCCTTCCCTAGCTCCCCCCCTCCCTAGCTCCCCCCCTCCCTAGCTCCCCCCCTCCCTAACTCCCTCCCTAGCTCCCTCCCTCCCTCCCCAGCTCCCTAGCTCCCTCCCGCCTTCCCTAGCTCCCTCCCTCCTTCCCTAGCTCCCCCCGTATCTCTCCTAAGTGTGCTAGGAGCGTGCGTGGGGGTGCATACAGTGAGTGTGGTAGGAAAGCGAGTGGGAGTGAGTAAAGTGAGACGTGGTGGTGAGTGTGGTAGGAGAGTGAGTGGAGGTGAGTAGAGCGAGTGGAGGTGAGTAGAGTGAGATGAGGTGGTGAGTGTGGTAGGAAAGTGAGTGGGAGTGAGTAGAGTGAGACGTGGTGGTGAGTGTGGTAGGAGAGTGAGTGGGAGTGAGTAGAGTGAGATGAGGTGGTGAGTGCGGTAGGAGAGTGAGTGGGAGTGAGTAAAGTGAGACGTGGTGGTGAGTGTGGTAGGAGAGTGAGTGGAGGTGAGTAGAGCGAGTGGAGGTGAGTAGAGTGAGATGAGGTGGTGAGTGTGGTAAGAGAGTGAGTGGGAGTGAGTAGAGTGAGACGTGGTGGTGAGTGTGGTAGGAGAGTGAGTGGGAGTGAGTTGAGTGAGACGTGGCGGTGAGTGTGGTAGGAGAGTGAGTGGGAGTGAGTAGTGAGATGCGGTGGTGAGTGTGGTAGGAGAGTGAGTGAGAGTGAGTTGAGTGAGACGTGGCGGTGAGTGTGGTAGGAGAGTGGGAGAGAGTAGAGTGAGATGCGGTGGTGAGTGTGGTAGGAGAGTGAGTGGAGGTGAGTACAGCAACTCACATGTTCACCGGGCTCTCTGCTGCCACGGCCACGGCTGGATCCAGGTTCACCCTGTAGGACCGGCCATGCACCTGCAGGAACTGTGCCGGGTCTTTTTTCTGTGCCGTGAAGGAGCATGGGGGGGGGGGGGGGGATGGGGGGACAGTTCGGCAGAACAAAAATGCATAACGGTTGATTCACTATCATCAGCCATGATTATGGGTCGGCTACCAAAATAACAAGAGGAACCATTTTTTCAAATTTCAAGAGCCAAACTGCAGTCGTTAAAGAGCCACCGCATGCAGCTCCAGAGGCGCAGGTTGACGACCCCTGGCCATGATCGACCCACTGCTAGATGGAGGCACATCCGAGAGCCGCCGCCATCTATCGCCACCCCGTGATACTGTCGAGGCGATCCGATAGCGATGATGCCAAGCTACACACAAGGCCCGTACCCAGCACTGTGCGCAACATGACTGTGAGCGGAGATGGTCGCTCACTCTCGTAGTCACGCGATGACTCAGGAGGCGCGAGGAGAAACCAAACAGCAGCAAAGTGATCATCTGGACCTAACAATTGCCCAAGCTCTGCGGTCCTCTATATATTAAGGTTCTGTCGGTCAACTCATGAGTGTTTACACGTTGGAGGAAACCGATTACCCAAAGAATACCCACGCATGCGAGGTGGAAACACTACCGCATAGACTATTATCACGGTTGGCTACGCACGGTGTGAAAGAAGTTCAACATACATAAATACATACAGATGGGAGCCCACATTTTTGATAAAATGTCTTATGCCGGCAAGCCAGGGTATGGCTTCTCCTCGCCGCCCACGGGAGGGGAGGGAGTTCCACAACATCATCGGTGTGTGAGCCACCGAGCCTCGCTGCTCCCTTCACAGCGTGAATTACAGGCAGCCACGTTCTGCACTGCGACCACTGCCTGGCGAATGGGCGCCGAGTGACGGGCAGGCACACACAGGTTGTCACAGGAGGCTTACGGGGCGACACAGTGGGCAGCTAAATCTGAATCTTTATTTGTCCTGGAGAAATCCGATGAGCTACGAAGCTTTTTTTCACAGATGTCCAGTCGCTTCACAAGTGCCCCCTCCCCCTCATTCCCCCTCCTGGCTCCAGCCTCTCACCGACCCCCTTTGGCTTCCCAATGCAATGATGCCCGATTATCAGCCCCTCAGCTTTATGTCCCCCCCCCCCACCACAGCTACGACCAGGCCTATCCCAACCCCTCCTTATCAATCCCTCTTGTTTCAACTGCATAAAAACTATACAGCCACTTACAATAACCCAATTCTTCATTTCAAATCATTATCATCCTATGTACAATTTTATTATTGCCATAAAGTGCCTTGGAAAAAGCGCTATACGAATCTCAAAAAGATCAAGGTGGTGCAGGAACATTCACCGCTGTACATGTGCATCCGATGAGCTATGAAGCTATTTTCCACACCCGTCCAGTCGCGTCACAGCTTGACAAACACTGCGCAAGCGGCACTCAGCTCTGCCAGTCCTGGACCAGTCCGCTCAGGAGCGTCACGATGGCGCCCTCTGGCGAGAGCACTGTGCCGCTACTGCCCTACACGTGAACGCGTCTCCCACCAAGAGGTGAGGTGCACTGTGAGAGATGGCACGACAGGTACATCACAGAGTGTGATGCATTGCGGGAACCGGCACTACAGGTACATCACAGAGTGTGATGCATTATGGGAACCCGCACTACAGCTCTGTCACCGTGTGTGATGCATCGTGGGAGCCGCGACAGATTCAGCGATGAAACGCACCACGTTCGCCACGAGTCCGCCCGTGAGAATGCCCTCTGGGGACGCTGCAGAAATTCCACTGCGCGTCCCCGTACATAGAGCCAAGTGGGATTCGGGACCTGGACCGTGCTCTTCCCAGTGCAGCGACTGCTTACGCTCGGTGCGGTTCCCGTCGTTTAAAAAACTAAACTGTTTTATGTTACCAGGTAAGGCCCACTGAGCAATGTAGCTCTTTTTCAGAAGCGGCCTGGCCACAAATGACAGCACAACAAATTGGCTTATCATGCGGAAATTTATAGCAGCCAAATACCCTAAACGCATGTTGATTAAAAATGTGGAGAGAAAAACCAGAGGACTCGGAGAAAAATTCACACGACCACTGGAAGAACACGCAAACTCCGTAGATACAGGCATCGTCAGAGTTGGGATCGAACCCACGAACTCGTGTACACTAGGCGAGGTGGTTAACATCTCGCCACCGGTGCGTCCCACTTTCTCGTTCACTCCTCCCTCGTGCCCATTTCGCTCATTCATTCCTGTCCAAACCCCGCCGGCTTTTAACCTCGCGACGCGCCCCGCTCAGACCCGGTCGCCGTAGCTGAACGGGGAAACCTCACAGCGACGAAGTGAACCCCCCCCCCCGCCCCCAACACCGGGGCGCGCTCACGACCGCGCCGCCACTCACGATCTTCTCGTAGTACTCGCGCCGGCGCTCGACGCGCTTCTTGTAGTCCACCATCATGCCCCGCAGCTTGCGCTCCTGCTTGCGCGCCTCGTGCCACATGGTCGCAGCCGTGGAGGAGGCGGCACAGAGGAAAGGGGGAGCTGCCCCGCCGGAGATGGACCGCCGTGGCTCTGCTCCGCGCGAGACCTACGGGTTATTGTGAGACCTGTAGACAATCACAGAGACCCATAGACTTACACAGAGACCCATAGACTAACACAGAGACCCATAGACTAACACAGAGACCCATAGACTAACCCCCAGACCCATAGACTAACACCCAGACCCATAGACTAACACAGAGACACGTAGACTCACACAGAGACACGTAGACTCACACAGAGACCCACAGACTAACACCCAGACCCATAGACTAACACCCAGACTCATAGACTAACACCGAGACCCATAGACTAACACCGAGACCCATATACTAACACAGACACCAATAGACTAAAATAGAGACCCATAGACTAAAATAGAGACCCATAGACTAACACACAAAGATTACCCGTATAACCGTAAGACGATTGTTAGGGAAAGTGCTGTTAGCGAGCACCTATGAAGGCCGGCACTGTGACACACGAGGGGGTGCCCAGCACCTCGCCCGGCCGCCTTTGTCTCCCTCGTGACAATGTTTACACACCGCACCAGTTACTCTTTTGAAGCCCGGTCGACCTAGGGGAGGCCCAGATACTCGTCAGTGGTTGCTGGTGGCCGCGAGAGTGAATAGAACTCGGGCCGTTGGGTTCGTAGTGCAGCGTGCTAGTCACGGCACTATTCAGGGCCAACGTGAGACGCACAGATATATAGATCTATGTTTAAACTGGGACCCGATCCCCCATTCATACGCGTGGATTGCGTTCCGCTTTCCAAAGCGCAGTGCGTTAACCACTGCGCCACCGCTCCCCCCCTTCTCTGCACCAACAACCCTCATCAGTCCACACCTCAGAGTCGACACAGTCTCAACAACAGCCAAAGGTCCCCCGCATAGTCTTTAACAGACTGTTGGGGCAAGTGCTGTTGGCGAGCACCTCTACGGCACACGAGGGGGTGGTGTGGGTAGCCTTCCCCAGCGCAGGCGCTTACACGACGCGCCAGAAAAACATCGCCGGTGTCGGCTGAGTGGAACTCCGGCCTCACCGGGTTAGGAGCCAGTGCGCTAACCACTACGCCACCGCTCCCCGCCAACGACAGCCATCGCCGCTGTAAACATCACCTTTCATTATCCAACTACTAAATAATGTCGTCAGCCGCGGTCAATCTACTGCTGGATGAAAGTCTGCCCGCCTATCGCGACCCTGCGATGTCAACAATTCATCCAGACCCGGCAAACTAAACTAATTTTACAATATTTCCCCGATACGACAAATCGACAATATTCCCCAGTGCATACACAGCATTAATCACTCAAGAGCAGCTGCGGCGGTGGTACACGCGGAGCGCACTGTGCGACTTGCAATCCCCACGGGGTCGAGTTCCCATCTCCCGGCGCGGCAGTGGCGCCAGGAACCGTTCTAGAATCCACGACTCGGTCTCTGTCCAGCAGCAGAACTGTGACGATCTACGATGGGTAGCTAAGCGTGTCGTGAGGTAAGTCGCGGGTACTCTCATCTCTTCCAACGCAGTCTGGCGAGCGTGGAATAGGAGGCCAAATATCCTCTAGAGTCGAGAGCTGCTGCGAAGCGGAGGCATTTCGACAGCAATTGCAGGGGGCGCCGCATGAAAATCCACTACAGGGCCTAGGCCGCAGGCTTGAAGCCTGAGGCCTAGCGACGCTCACCTGCGCTTGGCCCGGGGAAGCGAGAGACGCGGGGGCCGCTATCCCCTCCCGGTGGCTTCTGCAGCCGCGAGGCCGCGAACTCTGTGGGGGTCGCCCCCCCTCCTCCTCTTCTTGAGTCCCGAGCCTTGGGGCTCGACTCGCGCTCCCCCCGCACTCTCCTGGCGCTCTCTCCCCACGCTCTCTCACGGAGCCTCGCGCTGTTATCCACCAATCACGAGAGAGAACCGACGACACCCCTCCGTGTTGCGAGGACCAATCACGAGCCAGCACCGATCACCGCCACTCACCACCGCTCCGGACATGGCACTTTGCCGAAGGTCTCTTCCCTCCCGGTTCATAAAACAAAACCAGCCAACACCGAACACCTATCTTCTTGGTTCTTTCGGTAAAGTCACGTAGAAGGGAAGTAATAAAATAATAACATAAAACATAATAAAATTATTCTCACGACGTTTCGGCCACAACGCAAGCCGAAACGTCGTGAGAATAATTTTATTTTGTTTTATTTTTATTATTTCCCTTCTACGTGACTTTACCGAAAGAACCAAGAAGATGAATGAATCCCTGCAGTCACGAAAGCTTTAAATCAAAATTTAACCGAACACCTACACCATTGGAACCTCACCGAACACCTATATTACTATTAAAGTTGGTGACGATTCTGGCAATGACCCTTCTCCATAGCACACATTCACAAATGGACAATTAAAGATAACCAGAGAACATGGAGAAACCCATGCTGAACAGGGGGAGAGAACATGCAAACTCCACTCGCACTGACGCCCGAGTCGGGAATGAAATCACGGTGATCTCTCAACATTGGGATCAAGTAATTAAATCGACTCCAAGGTGACATCAATATCACTGCCAAAAGCAATAATTTGATTCCGGAAGAGAAACAAAACAAGAAGCAAAGCACGCAATTATTTGTTAATAGCTCTTTATTTAGAACTTTAGTTGTTTTGTATATGTTACTTAATAAATATTTAGTCAGGCTACGAAGCGTTAAAAATAATAATGAGCCACTTCATAACCCAGAAATCGGGCATAACACAGGAAATACTTCAGAGTAGTCCGAGCCAGCTGTGCCTTATGTTGCAAACAACACACAAGAGACGCATGTAAAAATCACTCGGCCTTTGTGCGTTTTGCAAAAAACTCCCCAACGGTTCCTCTTCGTCTTAGTTCACCATCAAAATAAATTTGAGCAAACGTGTAACGACTGACGGACATAGACAATTGTAGATCGGTGTTGTGTTTATTAGAACTCTATCAGTCGCTACCTTGGCGCACAATCAGCGCGTGAACCCACGCGCCAGTCCACGATGCACACCGAAGCGAACCCAGACGACGGCATCGCCAGCTGCTGTCTCTCCGCACCCAGTCAGTCACTCCCTCCAAACACGGACCCGCAGCCTGCAGTGGAGAATAGCCTGGATACCGGCATTCTTAAAATGAACAATTTTTTTTATTATTTTACCAGGTATGACCCCCACGGAGCTACGGAGCTATTTTTTCAGAAGCGACCTGGCTACCACAAATGATCGCTCAACTAAGTCGCTTAGCACGAGAAAATGTACAACAGCCAAATATTCTAAACGCATGTTTATAAATGTGGAGAGAAAGGAACCGGCGAAAAATCCACACAACCACGAGGCGAGAAAACGCAATCTCCAAATATACAGCAGGCGTCAGGATTGGGCAATCGAACTCAGGATCTCCTGTATACCAGGCGAAGTAGTTAACATCTCGCCATCGTGGCGCCACCGTTTTCTTAGTCACAGCCCGGCTCAGGCTTGGCTTCGGCTAAAGAGCCGCTTCCCCAAGCCCCTGTGCTTAACGTAATTCCGGCTCCAAGCATGGTCCCAGCCAGGCTCGGGACTTTACAGGAACCAGAGCCGTGCCACAGCGAAGTCGCTCACTCGCGTCACGCAAACTCCGTCCAGTCATTCTCGCAGCAGCAGTAGCGGCTTTTGAACAAAGACTGTCACCGCATCGCGTGATTTCAGATGCGCTTCTGCGGCCGTCTGGAACGCTCCTTCCGAGATTAGGAAGCCACTATGCACTTTTAAATCTAAATTGAAAAACTGCTTTTTGCGTTTAATTAATCGTCCTTATCCCGCAGCTCCCATTAGCGTATGTGCCAAAGATGTTCAACTTACGTACATCCGTGCCTCTTTGGAAGCAACTGAGCAAGCTCGGCCTGAGCTGGAGTGTAAACGATGCCGAGACAGAGCCGAGCCGCGAATGCGGCCACGAGCAGCAGCAGCCGCCACTGCCAATGAGCCACTGAATGTCTAAACCGGTCCAGGGTGAATGAAAAGCAACCCTGCGAAAGAAGTCACTCCGAGTAGGTCGTGTGGCTGAAGGGGTTTGTGCAAAATACATATTTTAGTGTTCTTACGTGGAGACAGATCGATAGCGGGGTATGGTCTGCTTATGTTGTAGTTTTTTTAGACGTGTTCACGACTGCATTGCACGTAAAGAATCAAGTGTTGTTTTAATATAATTTAATTCGATAGTAAAATACGTTGTCTGTTGACATCCCGGGGAGCGAGGTTGGCCGATAAAGAATTGGCTGCGGCGTTATGGACATCTCTTACTCCGAATCGGTTGGCACTAAACTCTGACCTCACTCTTGCTTAACATCAATGGTTTCCACGCCTGGTAAAATAAATAAATGCAATGTTTTCATTGGCGGCTCGGGGTTTGCACGGACAATCCGTGCGTGGAACATATAGCAAGGGTGATCCATTTCTAGATACCCCTACTAAATATAATAGGGAGATAGTCGAGAGAAAACTGAATTCATAATCAACGTTTTTGGGTTAGATCGCGTTATTTATAAATGTGTCGTAACCCTCCACCACCCGACACGGCCAATCAGTAAAATGTGTCACGTTGACAAAGACAAATAGTTCACTGCTTTAGCCCACCGGTGTGTTGAAGCCACAACATTTACAATTTGAGTACGACGTTTCGCTGGTAATTGCATCCAGCATCATCGGGCAATTCGCCAGAATTGGAGGGTTACGACACATTTATAAATAACGCGATCTAAACCCAAAAACGTTGATTATGAATAATATTGGTCGCGAAAGCCTACGTGTTAGAAAACTGAATGTTATTTTCAAACGCTCAACGTGCACCATCTCCCCCCACCCAATAGCAATACACTTATTGAAAACGTTGTCACGCTATCACAATATCCAATCAGCCGTTGAGAACCGAGGACCATTATCAATCAGTGGGGTATCTATTAATGGATCCTCCTGTACAGTTTACTGCATTAAAAAAAACTCAATGCGTTCGTAAACGACACTGTGGCTTTGTGTAATAGGCGACGTTTCGGGAAATGCTCCCCCCCCACAATTGCACATGGCCTGAAACGCCATGGATATTGTCCTTTAATGGAGCTACAGCAAATTCCGAACGTGGTTTCGTCGTCGTCGTCGTTGTTTGTGCCCCGATGCGTAGGCACACCAGCAGCAGCAGCGAGTAACGCGTTCATGCCCTTGGTACAAAGCACCCCGGGGTTCACCGCGCTGCTGACGTCTTGTTCGAGACTCTCCACGGGAAGCTTGGGTGGCTTCAGGTGACCCAATACCGCGTCCAAGACATCACCGCCAACACCGCTGACAGCCTGGGTTCCAATCCAGGTTTCAGCCGCGCCCGAAATGAATGGAGCGTCCTCAAGAAGACAGCGGCACCAACGGTTCCGGGCGCCGTCACCGATGATCACGCGCAAGAAAAAACACGCAAATCGAATTTTTCACTCCGAATCGGTCGATTCTCATGCTCCAAGACAGTGGTTCACAACCTATGGTGCACCCGCAAAGCCATAGAGAAGTGGTCCGCGGAAATGTTGCAGAAAGGAAACACGAGATTCGTACCGCCCGTCGCGGTATAGTCAATCAAAACAATGCAAGTTCATGGTGTCCATGGCTTTCCTATGTAACATTGAACCACACCTTGAATAAGAGTAATTTTAATTTTGAAAAGAATCGTTGTCTGTCCAAGGTGGCCTGCGACGATGTTGCGTGGGTACATTTGTACGTATGTTGAACTTCTTTCGCACCGTACGAAGCCAACCGTACTAATCGTAGGTAGGGGTTGACAGTGGTTGGGAACCACCGTTACAAAATAAATTAGGTGTGACTGCAGCGGAGACGAACCCTGACATGGCAGCGCATCTGAGAGCATGGGAGCCACCCTCGTGTGAATAGAACCAACTGGAAGGACCTCGGAAGTAGTTCTGTGTCGTCATTTTCTAGATAACCTCCTTTAACACGTTCCGCTGCTTGCGGCAAGCACCAAAGTTGTCTTTTCTTCTGTAATGACGAGACAAATAGTACAAGTGAAATATAAAGATAAACGGCAGTTACCATAAAACTATAAAGCACACCCATGTTACCAAAGGCAACATTCTACACACTTCATTGAACGTCATTTGTTGCTATTAAAGTTACTTAGACGTGCCTAGAGATGTATTAGTCTGGTCACGAAGAGAGTGAGATATGACTTGTCCTAAAAATGCATTTCTTTTGGTAGCTTGGCCCCAAACTCACAAAGCACTCACTCGACCGATAAAACCTCTCTTCTACTGCACAACCCGATCCGCGCCGGGGGCCGTGCCGAGCCAGACCCACGCTGTTCATTTTGCACCGCGCCGTTCGTCTTCCCATTGCAGAAGCCGAGCCGCTGGCCTCGCGCGCAACGAACGAACCGGGACGCGCACAGACGATACGGTGACGCCGTGTCCCCCCAGGGGGTACCGACATCACACGCACGACGCTGCGAACGAACCAAGACGCACGCAGACGGTGTGGTGACGCCGTGTCCCCAAGGGGGTCCCCCCCCACCCCAACGTGTCCGTCCACGGCGTACCGACGTTACACGCAGTGAACGCGTTGTGTGCGCCGCCGCTTGGCCCTGCTTGAGCAAAATTCAGAAGTTGCGCGAGGGAAGCGTAGCACGGTTTGGTTTTGGCTCTCATCGGCAAATAGCCGGTGGGAAAAAAACCACCCATGCCGTGATGGGCCCCACGCTGGCTCAGCGTGGATGTGCCAGTTGACAAGGCGTCTAAGTCCAAACCACGGCAGTTTAAAATAAACAATAACGACGACTCGCGTTACACTGCACAAAGCCGAACTAATCACAAATCGGTTTGAACTTTTATTGTATGAAAAAAAACAAGTCAA